ACCCCAATCATTTGTAACATCATCTTATCACTGAGAAAAGAATGTACTCTCTACCTTTTTCGCCTGCTTTTCATCAACATTGTCCTTTAGCTCTATTGTTCTTACTTTAATTTTATTATTTAATTGTTCTTATAATACCAAGCCTACCTTGAGGTCCCTAGGCTCAAGATCACTGCTGATGAGTAACATTAGTTTGATTCAATTCTCTCTTTTGTTTCTACTTCATACTTCTTGATTATTAATTGGTATTGAATTAAATCACGTATCTTCAAAACCACAATTCAAATTTAATTGTTACTCGTATTTTCGAGGTAAATAGTTTGGCGCCCACCGTAGTGCTAAAGATAATAGTGATTATTACTGATTCTTATTACACACATTATTTTTATACTTTTTGTTGTCAAGAATTTTTGATTTTCAGGCTGAAACATGTCTAGCTCACAAAACGCACATGTTCATGACAACGAAGGTCTTGGTGAGAGCAATAATGCAGGGGTCGGTCTGCCACCGGTAAACCCTGGGAAAGTGCCAAACGTGGAAACAGTTGATATTGGTTCTCATATTGCTATAAACACCAACCTAGGCACAGACCCCAAAGGGAGTGTACGCAGGGATGCTCGACCGGGGGACCAAAGAACACCAGGAGCAGGAGATGAGGGAGTTAGCCTCCAAGTGATATTTGAGATGTTGCAGGCTCAGCAAATCGCCATCGCTCAACTTCAAAGTCAAAATAAGACCCCGAGCGTAGCTGAGCATGAAATAATCGACGTGCTGAACCAACGCCGGAAGGGCCCAATGGAAACGACTCGGGGACTGACCCCACCATTATGAAAATGCTCGAAGATCTCACTAAGAGGATCGAGTCCGGAGAAAAGAAAATTGAGGATAACAATAAGAAGGTGGAGACTTATAACTCCAGTGTAGACCAGATACCGGGGCACCTCTAGTTTTGAAAGGTCTAGATGCCAAAAAGTTCATACAAAAACCATTCCCTCAGAGCGTAGCCCCGATGCCTATTCCTAAAAAATTCCGCATGCCCGACATACCCAAATATAATGGGACAACCGACCCTAACGAACATATTACTTCATACACTTGTGGGATCAAAGGAAATGACTTGAATGATGATGAAATCGAGTCAGTGTTGTTGAAAAAGTTTGGGGAAACACTCTCAAAAGGAGCTATGATTTGGTATCACAGCTTAGCTCCTAACTCTATTGATTCATTTGCTATGTTAGCAGACGCCTTCGTTAAAGCCCACGCCGGGGCCATAAAGGTGGCCACGAGAAAATCTGATGTCTTCAAAATAAAACAAAGGAACGACGAGATGTTAAGGGAGTTCGTGTCCAGGTTTCAGATGGAAAGAATGGAACTGCCATCGGTCTCCGACGACTGGGCAGTACAAGCCTTTATGCAGGGTTTGAACAAGCGAAGCTCGATTGCTTCTAGACAACTAAAATAGAACTTGATCGAGTATCCAGCTGTGACGTGGTCAGATGAGCACAACCGTTACCAGTCAAAAATTAGGGTTGAGGACGATCAGTTAGGAGCCCCCTCGGGTTCAGTTCATACTAACAGGTTTGTGGCCAAGCCCCCAAGGGATACGAACAGGGAATCGAGATCGAACAGGGAAAGGTATCAACCGTATGTCGATCAAAGGAACCATGGTTCAGGTCGAAACGTTCCTCGGAATGATCGAGAAACAATCGGGGTCAAAGTTCTCGGGGACTCGTAAGTAAAAATGGATTCGATAAGCATACCGATCCCGCAGAGGCGCCTGGGTTATCGGAGTACAACTTTAGCGTAGATGCATCAAGGATTGTGTCAGCTATTTGAAAAATCAAAGGCACCAAGTGGCCCAAGCCTATAAAAACCAATCCTTCTCAAAGAAACCCGAACTACATGTGCAAATACCACGGTACACATGGCCATAGGATAGAATATTGCCGGCAGCTAAGGGAAGAGGTGGCTTGGCTGTTCAACGAGGGCCACCTTCGAGAATTTCTAAGTGATCGGGCCAAGAATCACTTGAGGGAGAGAGATGCAAGGAAAAATGAGCAAGAAGAACCACATCATGTAATCCACATGATCATTCGCAGAGTCGATGTCCCTCAACGACCTATATTCAAGCGTACCAAAGTATCAATCACAAGAGAAAAGTAGACTCGGAGCTATGTGCCCGAGGACGTCCGATCATTCTGTAACGAGGAAGTGGAAGACATATCTTAGCCTCACAACGATGCCCTGGTATTCTCTATCCTTTTAAATAAAATTCAAGTTAAACGTGTTTTAGTGGATCCAGGTAGCTCAGCGAACATAATCAGATCGAGGGTTGTGGAACAACTCGGCCAGCAAGATTAGATTGTACCTGCATCCTGGGTGCTGAATGGCTTTAACATGGCAAGCGAAACAACAAAAGGAGAGATTATCTTTCCAGTAAACGTAGCCGGGACCATACAAGACACCAGGTTCTATGTCATTGAAGGTGATATGAGGTATAACGCACTCCTCTGGAGACCATGGATACACAACATGAGGGCAGTGCCTTCGACTCTTCACCAGATGATGAAATTCCCACCAGAGGAAGGAGTGAAAACAGTACACGGAGAATAGCATGCTGCCAAACAGATGTTTGCAATCGAAGAACTGGTGCCGATACCAAAATCCTTGGCCTCAGAGAAATCGAGCTCCAAAGGTATGCAGGCGGCTAAATAGCAACCACAGTTCCCAGCCTCGACGGAATCTGAACAATAGGTAATAGAAGGCGAAGAAGAGGACTTCCTTACTCCTCGAACCTTCGTCATTCCCGAAGAGTCCGGTGCTACCAAGTCAACTGCCTGAGAGAAAGGTACACCTGGGAATGAGATTAACCCCCGAACTCAGGAAAAAACTCATTCAGTTTCTTATTAATAATATGGATTGCTTTGCTTGGTCCAATTTAGATATAACAAGGATTCCACCAGAAACCACCACGCATCGGCCGAGCACCGATCCCAGGTTCAAGTCGGTGAAGCAAAAGAGGAGGCCTCAGTCCGAGGAGCTGCATACCAACGCCCAATTAACAAGATGTTCGAAGAACAAATAGGTAAAACAATGAAAGCCTATATCGATGATATGATTGGTTAAGTCCCTACGCGCAGAGAATCATTTTAATTCATTTGTAGGAAACATTCAAAGTTTTGAGGCAATGCAACACGAAGCTTAACCCAGAGAAATGTGCCTTCGGAGTTGGCTCGGGTAAGTTTCTCGGCCTCATGGTGTCAAATCGGGGTATCGAAATCGTCCCCGGTAGGATCAAGGCTATCGAAGATACCACAATAATGGATAGTGGGAAGGACCGTATCGACTCCTCGGAGTTGTTGGTAAAGGATCTTACAAACTCGGAACAAGGGAAGGTGAAGTTACAAATTGGAACATATCATTACTGGAACGATAATACTGCTAAGGTATGACTTTATCCTTTGTCCATTTGAGTTTAAAACTAACTTATTACATCTTTTCGATCGAAGCTCTCGAAGGCGCGCGATCTCGAAGACACTCTTTTTACACGAAAGCCTTAGGTTTTAAAGCATACGTTGCACTCTTTTTCCCTTATCTCGGATTTTGTCCCAAATGGGTTTTATCGGAAAGGTTTTTAACGAGGCAACAATCATGTGCTACTCTAAGGAGAACCCAACAGTATCTAAGGCTTCTTTTCAATCAACCTCGAATACTGGGGGGCATCACCCTCGGAGATTATATTTTCAAGGAAAATACTTCACGCCTATGAGGGCCTCGATAGGAAAACTTTGTAATGGGCCAAACGGTCAGATGAACCGTGTCAATATAGAATAGTCGAGCCCCGACGGCAAAACATGTACGCATGTATCAAATTACTTGAAGAAGCATTCTGTTTATATCAAAAACACTTTGCGTCTCAAAGAAGTCTACTATTATACGAGCTCTACACTTATAATCCTACGGGAAACGGCTCAAGAGCCAAAGCATAAAAACACCCCCAAATACTCGGGGACTGCCATTGACAGCCAATACACCCGAGTCACCAAAAACTCGGACTCATAAGACCTCAAAGAGGCATCCCCACGAAACAAAGGCCAAGGCCAATATACTCGGGGACTAACTTTTTGAACGAGTTCGTAAAGTTATCGGGTAACAATTCCAAGCCACATTCCCGAAGGCTACAGCCGTATTAAAGACTACGATCATGTAAAAAAGCTATGGCCTAAATAATGCGGCTCGGAGACGTCCGACTTCTGCTATAAATCAAAGGCCTTCAAACACTTTGTAAAAACCGGTTAAATCAGGCTACCCTCGGCAAAAGTAAAATATAATGGGCTTCGATGAATTCAACCCTCGAACAATTTAATGGGCTTCGATAAATTCAGCCCTCAAATAATTTAAACGCTTCGATAACGTCAGCCCTCAATACAACCTCAAGAGGTATTCGATTATCAGTACACAAATAATGTCCGATACGTCGAACCTTCGAAAAACTCAACGGTACAAAAAGCACATTCTAAGGCATAATTGAATTTTCACTTAGTCTTTTAGCCGAAATGAGGAAAAAATTATATAGCCATTCTAGAGGCCGAATTGCCCAACTTAAAGAGCCTAAGGGCCAATCTAAAGAGCCTATGGGCCGATATATAAGAGCCCAAAGGCCAACTTCGAAAGGCTTAAGGGCCAAAAACTTATAGTTCGAGACTCCGTTCTCACTTTACCCGGACTCATGAGTCACGATATCCCGAGCTCACATCGGATCGATTTAAACTTAGGATTATTATATCTATAAGATCTAAGGGTTAACTATGTCTCGAGCCCAAACCAATTCTCTGACCAATCATTCAAGTTATACAAACGAAGTATTCCATAAATAAAGACAATATGAAATCCAACACAAGTCAAAGATGAGATGAAAAGTTCCCCTTATATTTCCAAAAGATGATTACAAAAGATATTTACACAGGGGACACTTGTAAAAAAAATGAGGAAACCTAAAACTACTTCGGGGTCATATCTTCAGGAGCCGCATCTTCGAGAGCCACACCCTCGGGGACTTCATCTTCGTCTCCTCCACTCTCGGAGCCACTGGCTGAATCATCCTCATCAGAAAGCAGAGCAGCAGCCTCCTCTTCCAAGGTCTTCGCCTTTTCAATATCGGCTGAAAGATCGAAGCCGCGAGCGTGCACCTCCTCGAGGGTTTCCCTCCGAGATTGTCTCCTAGCATAGTCGAGTGCACATGATAACTTAACTTCGGTTGCAGTGGAGATCTCCTTGGCCCGGGCATTAGCTGCTTCGGCGTCAGCTCGATATGAGGACATAATTTCCTCAACATCAGATTTGGCCTTAGCCAGCTCAGCAGCAAATTTAACCTTGAGCTTCTCGATTTCACGGCCTCGAGCCAGGCCCTCCTCCTTCACGCTTCGTAACTGACGTTCGAGTGAAGACAGCTGCTCTCGGAGGGTTTCTTTCTCAGAAGCAAGATTGTCCATGCTTTGCCTCCGGCCTAGGGTTTCAGCCTCCTCCATCTTGAGCTCCTCTCGAAGCTGCTTCGCCAGCTCACCCTTTCGTTGAAACTACAAAATAAAGTTGTTAGGAAACCGAACAAGTTGGTCCATGACAAAACTTCAGAGGGAATATTACCTTTACGATAAGCTCGGTTCGTTGTTGACAAGCCTTTGCCAATTCGGCTCGAAGATCGTTGATTTCCTCCTCTTTCTTGACATAGAGGGTTTTAAGACTATCCATCTCTTCCGAGATCTTCTTAAGCTCAACCTCACATCGAGCAAGATCAGCTCGAGACTTGGAAAATGCCCTTTTGTGGAGCACCACAGCCTTCATGAAAAAGGGGAAAAGTTATACTCAGAACGGCAAAAGCAAAGCACGGGCATAATTCTAAAGTACAGAAAACTCACTTGTTTGAAGAGTCGACGAGCCTCATCAAAGATGAAAGAAGAATCCGGGTCGGGGCCATCTTCGATCCCTGCGAGGCATTCTCAAAAGATGTCATGCCCTTCGTTGTTCGCCCCCACTTCAGAAGATTTCATATTTTGAGCATCTCAGATCTGCCCCTCGGAGAACTCGGGACCAAGCAATAAGTCATCCATATTGATTACCCTAAGTGATCCACTCAGGGTATTCTCTTTTATTTGAAGGGGTTCGAGATCGGTCCCCTCAGCCTCGCCCCCCACATGACCTCCTAGGCGAGGTGACTTTTCACTGCTAGATGGCTCGGGGACTATGTTTGAACTCCCCTTGGATATTTCTTCGACTTTGGAATGAACCACATCGACCATCGTCGGCTCGACGGACTTCGAAGCACCTGTGTTTCCTCTTTTACGAGCTACCAAAAGGTAGTCATCATCATATTCTTCCTCCTGATCTCAAAGGCGTTGGGCCGTTTCCGGAGATAAGGCCACCGTATCGGCCTTGGACTTTCGAGCCGCGCTTTTCTTGGGCTTCAAGGGATTTGCAAGTGACTCCCTTTTTCTTTTCTTTTCTTTAGAACGTTTTGGGACCTCTTCTTCACCAGCCGGGGCCGGCCGTATAGAAACGGCGTCTCCCAGACCTGCACAAAACCGAAGTAAGTATTCCACTAAAGAAGTACAAGTAAACAAACAAGAGAACTCACCGTGATTTTTGGCCTCCCATCGGCCTTCGGCTAAATTCCGCCAGCAATGCTCCGAATAAGAGGAAGTGAAAGCCAGTTTTCAGACCCAGCCTTCAAGGTCCGGGACCCCACCAGGAAACCAAGCAGTAGCTGAGCCATCGAAAAGGGGTTAGACCTAGGAAAAGATAAAACTGAGAAAAGGAAGAGAAAGCGGGGTATAAACCTACTATGTACTTACGTTTCATATTCCACTCCTCGGGGAACGGCATCCACTCAGCAGGAATCAGGTCGGAGGTCATGACTCGGACAAACCGGCTCATCCACCCTCGGTCTTTGTCCTCATCGATACTGGAGAAGAGAGATTTCAAGGATCGACATTGCATTTTTATCTAGCCACCACGATAAAGTCAAGGACTGTATAGTCTAGTCAGATGGTCGAGGGTGAAAGGCATCCCCTCGACCTAACTCGAAAAGAACCTGATCAAATTAACGATTCACTAGAATGAAGGGTAGATCTGGCCAAGCGTCACTCGGTATCGTCGGTAAAAGTCGAGAATAATTGGATCTATGGGACCTTGAGCTAGAATTGCAAGGCCCACCGTGAATGGGCAGGTATACACGCTTAAGTACCCCTCTTTGTATGTGGTGATAACCTCCTCGGGGGAAGGGATCACTACTTCTTTGTTCTCCCACTTGCAGTCCTCCTTAACTTGCGCGAGCTCGTCCTTGGTTATCAAACTAACATATCGAGACATGGGTTCGCAACAGCCTGGTGTCATTACGAGTTTCTCGATCTTGAAATCAAATGTTATTTCGCATGGGGGAGGAATGCACTCCTCAATACGAGGGGACACTACCAGTTTACTCTTGGTCGGTCGAGAAGATGAAGAAGACTTTTCTTTTGGGGAACCGACTTAGAGGTCTTAGCCATTATAATGCGGAAATTCAAGAAAATGGACAATGTTGATAATGAAGTAAGGGCTAATGGAAGAGAAGAGAGAATTTGGAGAAATTGAAAGAGCTAATGAGGCTTTGAGAACAGTATGAGAATAAAGTTTGCAAGATTGTGAAGTCTATCTATTTATAGAGGTCATTAAAGCGTTCTGAGGAAGCCAAAAAGCCGAACGTCAGTCGCCTCCAATCAATGACTTTGGGAACCGCACAAAAAGCGACCTTTCAGTCATTTCAACCGCTGACGTCACGAGATTGGCAGCAGGATCGAGGCGTCAAAGATCAATTCGTCTCTTATCAATCTATTTATAGTTCAAGCAGAGTGCTCACTCGACTACTAAGCCCAAGGGCTACCCGAGTTTGAGAAATTTCTCACTCGAGGACTACAAAAAAGCCTAAGGGCTAACTTTATTTCAAGTTCGAGCAAGTGCTCGCTCAACTACTAAGCCCAAGGGCTACCCGAGTTTGAAGAGAGTTCTCACTCGATGATTATCTACGAAGCCTAAGGGCTAACTTTATTTCAAATTCGAGACCTTGCTCTCACTTAACTCGGACTCAGGAATCCCGATGTTCCGAGTTCGCATCAAACCGATTAAAGTTCAGTTCGAGGATTAACAAGAACCTTAAGGGGTATTATATTGGTCGATTAAAAACCTAAGGGTTTATTATGTCTTGAGTCTGATATTGGACTAGTCATTAAAGTTATAAAATCAAATTTTTCACAAGTAAAGATAGAATGGAATTCAACACGAGCCAAAAGGGAGACAAATGGATCTTTTTATATTTCCAAGAGATGATTACAAAATATAACTACAACATCCACGAAGGGTACTTACACAGGAACAAAGAAGCCAAAAACAAAAGCCAAGAACCTAATCTACTTTTAAGGCCATGTCCTCGAGAGCGTCATCTTCGAGAGCCTCCTTCCCGGGGACCCCATTTTGATCTTTGGAAATGACTGTGTGCCCAAAAAGATTTAGGTCAGAAAGCCCTCGATGAATGTAACTATATTTCCAGCAGCGGGGATTGAGCATTCTGCTGAAATTTTGGGCCATTATCCGTTAAAAAAAAGAGCAGCAAAAGAAAAAGACCAGAAAGGAACATGAAGATGTAGCTTTGCCTTCTATCACAAGAAAAACCAAAAAGGTTGCAAGATGCACGAGAAACGATCCAAGAATGTTCATCCTTGGGACATTGTGCCGGTGTGGGATGCAAAAGTTAGTAGATGATAGTACCACCTCATTCCATGGAAAGCAAAAAAAAATGAAGTGCCACACCAGGTTGAAGTTAAGAGAGATGGGAAGCAGGGTGAAGTTCACATATTTCCTGATGCAGGAAGGATTCTGCACCCTCCTCTCGTTCTTTCGAATCGAAGCTTTGAAAAGGGGAGCCTTGGCGTAACTAGTAAAGTTGCTGCCCTGAAACCTTATGATCGCAAGTTCGAACCATGGAAACAGATGATTAGAGAAAGAAGTAAAGAAAAGAAAGAATCGGAGTGAATGATGATGAAGTGCGTACAGTTCTTTGTTCAAGAGAGTAGCTTCTATTTATAGAAAGGCAACGGTAGTTCGGCGACGCTAGTGGCCGACCAACACTAGCACGCATTTGATATTATGGGGAAGAGCGCCGACGTGACATTTCGGTCACTTCAAGCACCTACGTCACGGGCATGACATCATCATGAGAAGCTCGGGAAAATCGAGGTGCAAATCGTTTCTTATCATCTTATTTTAAGAAATGCGGGGACTATCTGTATACGGTCAAAATCATATGCCCCCGATCTATAGGCTCGAGATTCCGTCCTAGAACCGAGTCTGGGCGAGGTCAAGTTCGAAACCGGTGGATCAGATTCGAGCTCGAAGGCAGAGTGCAATGCCCGGAGATAGGAGTTCGAGAAATACCGAGACCAAGTGTGCTCGACCCCGAAATAGTACCCTTATGGGCTTATAACTGAATGAGCTAGATTCCTGCCACGTTCCCAAGATCATGGCGCAAATCCCGGAATAAGATTGTACGATTTCGTACTAGGAGGTTAGGCAGCTGTAACAAGAATATTCCCTATTGTAAATAAAAATATTCCTTATTTAGGGATCTCCTATTATAAAAAGGGGACCGTAATCATTTGTAACATCATCTTATCACTAAGAAAAGAATATACTCTCTACCTTTTTTCGCCTGCTTTTCATCAACATTGTCCTTTAGCTCTATTGTTCTTACTTTGCTTTTATTATTTAATTGTTCTTATAATACCAAGCCTACCTCGAGGTCCCTAGGCTCGAGGTCACTGCTGTTGAGTAACATTGGTTTGATTCACTTCTCTCTTTCGTTTCTACTTCATACTTCTTGATTATTAATTGGTATTGAATTAAATCACGTATCTTTAAAACCACAAATCAAATTTAATTGTTACTCATATTTTCGAGGTAAACAATGTCTATTAACGTTCTTCCAACTTAAATGCAATGGAACGTCAATTCCGACTTGTGGGTTTTGATGTTCTTGAACGTCAATTGCCTTATTTTCTTTAGGGAAATGAAATAAAACTCCATTCGTTTTCTTCGATATTAAATAAACATGCGCCTATCCATTCTTAGTTTCAACTTACATATCCGCTTTCCCTTTCAGCACATATGCGGGACAATCCTATATCTGGACATGCCACAGACTGAGCTTACGCCTAGCCCACAATTGTATAGATGTCACAGGTACTAACTTAGAAGGAACTGAATTCCGAATGTAATCTGCAGTTTCTTAGAAATATTCCCAAAACAAATAAGGCAAATCTGAATAACACTTCATTAATCTATCCATGTCCAGAAGAGACTTATTTCTTCTTTCTACCACACCACTCTATTGTGGAGTTTACGGTGTATTCAATTGAGATGTAATCCCTTATTCTGATAAGTAACAAAAGAACTATTTAGAGAGGTGCTCTCTACTACAATCAAATTGCAGTAACTTAATATATTTCCTTGGTGCTTCTCCGTTTTAAGTCTTAAAAAATATTGAATTACTTAATTCATTAAGACTTACAGTGCATCAAATAAATATATTAATATTTGAGTAATCATTTATGAACGTCAGAAAAATACTCAAAACTATCTCTTACGAGTATGTTCATTTAACCATACAAATCAGAAGGGATTCATTCTAGCTTATCACTAGCTTTATTTCCTTTTGAAGGGAAACATCCTTTAGTCAAATTTCCTTCCAAACAGGATCTACAAGTTGGTAGTGCCTCTACTTTCAATGAACCTTAAGGTCCATCCTTGACCAACTTGAAATCCTATCTAGATTAATATGACTTAGACAAAAGTGCACAGATAAGTTTTACTCAATTTTGAAGAACATATTCTCTTATGAGGTAGACTATTATTGTTCTATTCAGGAGATACATTAATATACAATAACAAGGTCATGCATTCATGCACCACAAGAGATAAAATGTTTATCAAGCTCAATAACTCAAGAGTTATTCGAAAAATAAAATAAATATCCATTTCTTATTTTGCCCAGAAACCGGAATTAAATTCCTTCTAACAAAAAGTACATGTATTGCATCCTTTAAATTAATGTCTTATCTCTAAAAGAAAATTATAACAAGTAATATGACAAATTAGATAAAGTCATTGTGGAGTTGAGATAAAAACATTAAATAGATCATAATAAGTCAAAACATTGAATACTAAAATTCAGACTGCATTCAATATTTATATACATACATGCATCTCGAAT